GCTGACCGCATGCTGTATGTGGTTTGGGTTTCTCTCTGTATGGAGAATCTGAAACAAGAGCCAGTCTACAACTCATCCTTACTGTTGAGGCCCTTCCAGATGAAGCATCAGGCTTTGTGAACGATTTGCCATGAGTTAAAAAGTTTTTTTAGATCATTTCAATGCACCTTTACAAAACTTAGTAATGTTTTAGGAATTTCTGTAGTTGAACCCTGAGATGTTCTACATATTTCTACTTGCAAATGACATTTGCAGACTGGACATTCATGAAATTGCTACTGGAAATACAGCAGCTCTGGGTTTCTCTGCATAATACTTACTAGAAATCTTGCAATGAGGTACAGAGTCCCATGAGAAGCAGGATGACTCTAATAATTAAATAGGTGGAAGAACTTGCTACACAAAAATATGAAACAAGTTGCTGAATGCAGTGGTGGGCTTCAAATACGTGAACAACCGGTTCTCTGTGTGGATACCGCTTCCGGAAGTCCATTCTGGGCCTGGGCAACAAAAAATTAGCTACCGGTTCTGCCGAACTGGTACAAACTGGTTGAATCCCACCACTGGCTGAATGTCTTTAAATTTAGTGGTGAGAGATGATGACTGATGGACAAAAGTCTTTGTAGTATTCTATAAACTACTGTTTTCTGAATTTAAGACAGTGAGATCTGAAGGCAAGTCTCTGGTCATGCTGAGAAAAATGGGTAGCCCAGGGTGGAGAAGATTAAAACAAAACCAACTGGAGAATTGGACCTCTGAGAACAAAAGCTATTGTAAACAAGAGGCCAAGCTGGAAAGGATTTGTCACCAATTAAGAGATCTAAGCAGAAGAGTGGGGTGGGCCTCACCAAATGGGAGCTGGTTTCCACAAACATCAGAAGAAAGAGATCAGGATGTTTGGGGTTTGTACTCCAGATGTGAAAACAGATTCCCCACATGGAGTGCAATCTGAGGGACAGGAGGCACTTTTTAAAATCAGAGGAGGTAATGGCAAAGTAAAGCTATAAAAACATAACATGGCTGGCACTTTCACATCTAAATTGAAGAAAAAGTGTCAAGTATGAATTACAGGCAAACTGAACTTGACTAAAGCCTAATTAAAACAAAATAAAAACCTGGGAATTACTGAACCACGCTGCTCCAATTAATTTTTGCTGCAGGGAATGCTGCAGGTATAACAGTTTCACCATCAGTCTAGTCTGAAACGTCATTTGGGGTTCCAGGAAGGAATTATTTTACTTCTCCTTCTCTGAAAAACACTAGTAAGTGGTTACTTCTTGTAACCTGTGCTTCTTCTGGGATCTGACCATTGACCATGCTGGGTTGGAGTTGCTTACAGCATCTGTCTTATTTACTTATTTGATAAATTATATAGCCGCTCATCTCACTTACGTGTCTCTAAGTAGTGTACAAAGTTAAAAAGTCTTTACTTCCATGCATGAATAATTTTCAACCTGGTTTCCATTTGTGTTAGACTATAGCCTGAGGGTCACTGAAATTTTAATTTACACCTCAGCTCTAGATGAAAATTCACATATTTCCTCTATTTTCCTCAAATTTCTTCACAGAGAAAAGTAGCAAGCGGGAAAAAAGTTGCTAGTTTAAACTGTCCCCTAATATGAGACATATAAACCTCCATCTGCAATCTAAAAGATTTAGAACAGAAACTTAAGGTTGATTTAACTGATAAATAGCTTCCTTCCTTCCTTCCTTCCTTCCTTCCTTCCTTCCTTCCTTCCTTCCTTCCTTCCTTCCTTCCTTCCTTCCTTCCTTCCTTCCTTCCTTCTTTACTTAGGCTGCCATATGGATTTGAAGAAAGATAAGCAAGAGAAATGTTTGTTTTATCCTTTTTCTTTCATATTTATCCGCATATGTATCGACAACAGATTGAGAGATGTAGTTTTGATCATATATAGAAAGGCAATGCGTTTGATCATATATAGAAAGGCAATATGAAACTTGGTCCTTCAAATTAGCTCTGTGTCGGAACACACGGAAATCTACCATTTAATTGATGGGAGGAGAAGACAGAAAAACTGAGATATAGCTGGTTATTGTCATATAATAAGTTGAACTTTACCTTGATCTACAAAGAACTCAGCCTTTGAAGTCTTGCTCTGGATCTCTTACTTCAAGGCTGGATTAGTGGAAAATATGTGAGTCATTCTGTAATAGGCTTATACATTCAAAGGGGGGCTTATTCTTTTTTTAACGAACCACAGAGCAGAAATGTATATATTTGCACATGGTTTCATCTCAGGTCAATCACTCTGCTTCAATAGAATATTTGATGTTTGAATTTCTATTCTCTGAACATAAATAGGACATTTTCTCTTGATTTTTTAAAAATGTTGAATATCTCAAACTTATAATCCTCTG